TTTCAAGTCAGCAAAGGTGACTGACTCCAAGGTAGCAAGAACAACTACGTTCTCCGCTATATCAAAGGTGGTTTGGCCACACACGCACAACAAGGTTGCAGCTTTTAAATTATCTTCCCTGACCTGGTTCACTCTGAAGTAGTTTTCTACTCTTGAGATGTATGAACTCCATCATTCGGGGTGTGTCATGTCTGTTGTGTTTCCATTTGTTGGCAATTGATGAAGACACATGATGAAAACAACAAGCTCTTTATTACTCTTCTCCTAACAACCAAGCAAACAGCAAAAAGCACGCAGGCCTTTTATAGGGCCTGAGACCCGGACAGTGTGAACAAATAGGAACCGACCATTTTCGCACCATGCACATGCGACAAGGCTGACACCACCCTGTCTGGTCCCAGGCAGCTTTTGGATTACCCAGGACCATTTGCAACAATTCTGAGCCTGCTTCCAGTTTTTGCAGGCTCAGGACACAACACCACTCCCCCCTAGATAAACCTTTGCCCAGGTTCACCTGGTGCACCAGTTGCGGCCTTATTTGGACCGGGAGGCTTTACTCATGGTCACTCATGCTCTTGTCACCTCAAGACTGGATTACTGTAATGCGCTCTACATGGGGCTACCCTTGAAGAGCGTTCAGAGGCTGCAGTTGGTTCAGAATGCAGCCGCGAGAGCAATTGTGGGTGCACCAAGGTACACCCACGTGTCACCTATCCTCCGTGAGCTGCACTGGCTTCCTGTGGGTCTCCAGATGCAATTCAAGGTGTTGGTTATCACCTTTAAAGCCCTTCATGGCATAGGACCAGGTTACTTACAAGACTGCATACTTCCGCATAGTTCCCAGAGACTGGTGAGGTCCCACAGATTGGGCCTCCTTCAGGTCCCGTCGGCCAGACAATGTCAGCTGGCAGGACATTGGAGAAGGGCCTTTTCTGTGGTGGCTCCGACCTGGTGGAATCAACTTCCCCCCGTGATTCGAACTACTCCCACCTTGCCGGCCTTTAAGAAAGCCATTAAAACTCTCCTGTTCCGGCAGGCCTGGGGCTGATGTCCCTGGGGGGGGCCAGGATACGATTGGGACATGCTGTATGAATGCACTTATTTTACTGTTTTATTATTATATTTATTGTTTTAATTTTGTGTGCCGCCCTGAGTCTCTTTATTTTAGAAATAAATAAATAAATAAATTCTTTGTGTAACCATACTGGTTTCTTCTTGGTTTTCTTGTTTTTCTTTTTCAGTGGTATTGAGCTGGACTGGACTTTTATAATCATACTTTCAGTTTCCTAAGATTATTGAGTTGTTTTCCCCTTTAGGAATTTCATCTATGGGATATTTCCCAAGCCTCTCTGAGTTTGTTAAAAACAGCTTTTCTAAAGTCTAAGTTGCTGGTTTGATTGTGTTCTGTTGCTTGAATCTGCATTATATTGAATTGTAATATGACATTGTCGCCCTTCCCTGAGGTTCCTGCAACTTCAATCCCCTCTATCACTTCTTCTCTGATGGTGAGAATTAAGTCCAGTATAGCTGCCCCTCTAGTTCCCTCCTTTAATTGTTTGTTTCCCTCCTCCTCCCCAGATCTCCTCCTCTGCTGTTAATGAAATCTCTTTCCTTTTGCAAATTACAATCCAAAATAATTCTGAGTTTTTCCATAAGGCAAAGAGAATGAAATACAGTAAAATAGAAGGAAAAAAAGAATGAATTGTCCCTTAAACCCTTGGTTCTCAACCTTTTCTTCACCACGGACCTCCTATAAATACCATTTGTGACCACCAAGACTTAACTCAAGATTAAAAGCACTAGACTGCATCAAGCCTTTGATGATATTGTGGCTCCACAGGGGTCTGTAGACCACAGGTTGAGAACCACTGCCTTAAACCATAGTTAAAACCATAATTGCCTTTGGTAGAAACTAAGATTCTTTTAGAAAGATTGCAGAAAATGTTTTCATATAAATTTCTATTATATCATATAATTCATTTAAGAAGGCAAGCAAGAGATAAAATATAAAATATAATAAGTACAAATGGGTATTTATTTGAACATTTATTATGTTCTGAAAAGAATTGGGGTCAACAATGTGATTTCCAAGGATCCTTATTGATAGGCAATAGCCTAAAACAACTTCTTAATAGATCCAGTTGTTTCTATTCATCCTACACTTCATTACATTTGTGGAATTAAATGAAAGGTTTTGGGGAATAGAGAGAAAATTGTAAACCTGAGAGGAAATAATAAAACTGTTTTACAACTATGAGCTTATTAAAGTGGCTACATCCAAGCATTGGAAACTTTGCAATGCTTCCAATTGGATTCCAAAATTAGGGATATAGGAGGGCAGATCTAGGATCTCCTAGAGACTCGTTAAAGCATTACAGTCACTTTCCAGCATCAGGTAGCTATAATAAAAGTCACCTTATAGCAGATGCCACAAGGTAACTTAGAAACAAACATAGCTTGTTCTTTAAATTGCTGCAATTTTTAAATTGCTACAATTTCAACCTAAGAATTAAATCCATACCATCACCATACAGAAATAAAATGGCAGAATTCTATTATGATATGAAGAGAGTGGTGCTGTGAGAAAGACTGTGTGGTCTCTATGTAACTGTATCTTCCTTAGCTTTTCAGCTATCATGAAAGAACTGCACCCTCCTTATTTCTCCTGGTTAGTTCCCTGTACTCTTATCCCCTATTGAGTAACTACGGAAAATACTTATAAATATGATTCAGTCCAAAAAATGAATATGAAGCCATATACAGAATATTTGTTCACTGTGGTATATTTTGCTTACCATATGGATCACAGGAACACTTGAAAAACAGCTTGTTAATTTTCTTTTCTGACAGAAAACTGACTTTATATAGTACTGGGGGGATGGCTCAATGGTTAAAGACACTGAGCTTGCCAGCTGGAAAGCTGATAGGCTGAGTTTGAGATCTGAGCCTCATGAAACAGGCTGAGCTCCAGTCCATGTCCCCAGCTTCTGCCCATCTAGCAGTTTGAAAGCATGCAAACGCAAATAGATAAATGGGTACTACTTGGGTAGGAAAGTAACAGCATTCTTTACACTCTGATACATAGTAATGCTGGCCACATGACCATGGTAATGTCTTCAGATAACACTGACTCTTTGGCTAAGAAACAGAGATGAGTACCACCCTTTAGAGTTGGACATGACATGGGAAACTTTACCTTATGTGGGTACTGGGAATTAACACTGATATGATGACACCTAGTCACTAAATCAATCAGGATGATCAGTGTCAAGAAATAAGTACAGTCGTATGGCACTGCTTGCAGTAAAAAAATGTGATGCAAATATGTCAAAAGAGATGGAGTGGTAGCCCCTTCATCTGGGAGGAGAAAGAGATGTGCTATACATATGAGGTGTTAAATTCTTATTCCAACTCTGTTCTTTCCATAAAGAGTTACAGTTTATTCCTAGTGCAAGTTTAAGTGTGGAAATCATTGTTTAATTGCTCTATGTTGACATAACGTTGTCAACAAAGTGAGGCAACCTCCTATCTACCCATCCAGAATGAAAATGGAATGATACAATATTGTTCTGAGGATAACCTGTAGTGAGATTGAGCAGAAGTATAACTCTCTTTCCCCTTTCTCTGTACTTCTCTCTTGCTTAATCATGGCATTTTCTTTCTTCATGAGTTGGTAGTGGAGCCTTTGACTTATAACAAGACAATGATTTTAGACTCAAAGCTTCTGCTTAAATAGCAGATGGAAACTCCCATGTCCATTATAGCCTTTTCTGGATCATAAGACCCTTCTCACAGTCATTCATGATTTACGTACACAATGGACACTGACTACAATAATTTCTTTAAAAATTAAATGAATCACTATAAAATGGTACCCAATATTTTCAACCCCTAGAGCAGTGCAAAAGGACATAATGGTCAAGTTTATCAAAAGCTGCTGAAACATATTCTACCTCCATATAGGCACTACTACAGTTTGCTTACAACTGTCCCCATCCTAAATGACAGCCTGAAATGCAGATGAAGTGAGTGTAAAATAATGTGGACTGTTGAAGGCAGGTTCCTTTAAGAAAGCTCCAGTCTGACCATGTTCTCAACAAGAGAAGGTTGGAGATAGAGAGGTAGTCCAAATGTTCTCTCTTGGCCTAAGGCTTTCTCAGACTTAGGACCTGTGTATATATGGCATGGTCTTTTACCAGTGTGTTCTTGCCCTATCAAGAGATAAGGAAGGATGTCTCATATTTAGAAAGGATACGGACATGTCTTCTCATTTGTCATCTATTCCCACAGCATCCATCCTGAGTTTCAGTTGCCTACAACTATTTTCATTATTTCGGGGAAAAAAACTGCCTTTTACAAACAAATTCAGTATACATTACTTATGAGAGGTATTGCATTTCAAAACAGTTGCTAAAACATTGTTGCTCTGTTCTGTTCTCTATTTTAATGTTGCTTTCATTGTATTTCATTTATTTCAGTTGTTTGCTGTAATATACTTTGACCCTTGCTCAACTGAGCAGTTTATCCTCTATATTCCAAAGTTCAAAATGTGTTCATTTACAAAAACTAAAATTATATATATTATGGTAAATCAATCAATCAAGAAATAAAGCTAATATTTAAAGTCACAGAGGATGAAGCAGAATGTGATGACCAAAACAAAGAAATCCATGCATTCCTAAGAACAGCAAAGGGCAGTGTACACAATATTATATTTAAGGTCTCAATAAATGGAAGGTCCAGAATTTTTATCCTATGCTTCTAAACTGTATCATGGCACTTCCAAAACTCACTATTGAATATGGCTAAGCATTATCTTTGTTAGAGTTTCAGCAGCAATATAGAAAGAACTTTTGTCTGCCCCTCCTGGACATGGAAAGTGCTGAGGCTGGGATTTTTGAAAACCAGAAATGATTAACTATTAAGATAAATATCTTGTTCTTCCAAAGACTTTTGCAATACAATAATACCTTACGTAAAAACAGTAAACATAACTCTTAAGAATAGTTGCAAAAATTCATTGAGGCAATGCTATGTCCCAGGAGTTAGATTTGGTCCAGAACCAATTACAACATGAAGATCTTTTATGTGCTTTTCTCATTCCTTTTCCTTGCATTCCTTCTTGAACCAGGTAAAAAACTAACTTAATGATTATTTAGAAAGGACTGATAATTCTGTTCTAAAAAAGTATGATTATCTTTGAAAGCAGGCTAATCTACTACATATTTCTTGGGTCCATCATTTAATCCAAGGCCAGAATTTACACAAGTTTAAGGAATTTAAATTAAATCTTCATCTTTTAGCTAGAAATATCTCAATCATTAGGACCTTTTTATTTTACAGAAATAGTTATGAGGGTTGGAATATGAATGTCAATGCTGCTAACATTGGATGTTCTTGCTTGACAATATATAAAGATGCAAACATTTCCTATTTAACATGTGTATTACTTTTAGAGCTAAAAGAGATGGTGCTGGAAGGGAGGGGGGAGAATGTGCTGGGGATTAGTTAGCCATAACAATATCTCAGTAGAGTATTCTTCAAGGTTAGTTGTAATAAGAGGAGGTAATGGGAGAGAAAGTTCACACTTCAAACTAATTGGAGAATGTGATTAATGACTGTTAAATGAAGGAGTGAGTTATGCTTTGCTTCTGTGTGTTGGGGGAGGAGAATTCAGATTTTGACTTCTCTATGTACATGCCGAAGCTATATTGCAAATTAAAGATTCTTTAAGGTAAACAATGCCTCAAAGTCCTTTGAAGAGCTTCTTCATTCGGAACCATGACAATGAACAATCTGAACTTCCAAATATCTGAAAAATATATCATTGATTTTTTTCTCAATTAAAACTAGAGTTCCAATATAACATACGCGCAACAAAAAGGAACTAGAAAACCAACATATTGATTCACTATTTATATCCTATTTGAATAAAGAAAAAAAAAGATACTAGAGTAAGTAAAGAAAAAAATAGAGAGGAAAATCAGGCCCTGCAGTTCAAAGAAAATTATCCATTTTTACCCAAAATTTAATACCTACTAGAAACAGCAACCCCTTTATGGATTACTGCCTTGTTGTGGCAAAGGGGCTTGCGTAACTCAATGAAGCTATAAGCTATGCTGTGCAGGGCCACCCAAGACAGACAGGTTATAGCAGAGAGTTCTGACAAAATGTGATCCACTGGAGAAGGAAATGGCAAACCACTCCAGTATCTTTGCCATGAAAACCCCATGGACAGTACTAAAAGGCAAAAAGATATGACGCTGGAAGATGAGCCCCTCAGGTCGGAAGGTGTCCAATATGCTACTGGGGAAGAGCAGAGGGCTAGTACTAGTAGCACCAGAAAGAATGAAGCGACCGGGCCAAAGCCGAAAGGACGCTCAGCTGTGGATATATCTGGTGGTGAAAGGAAAGTCCGATGCTGTAAAGATTTTTTCTCCATAGGAACCTGGAATGTAAGATCCATGAATCAAGGCAAGCTAGACGTAGTCAAAAAAGAGATGACAAGACTGAACATCGACATCTTAGGAATCAGCGAACTAAAATGGACAGGAATGGGTGAATTTAACTCAGATGACCATCAGGTATACTACTGTGGGCAAGAATCCCTCAGAAGAAATGGAGTAGCCTTCATAGTCAATAAAAGAATAGGAAAAGCAATACTGGGATACAATCCTCAAAATGACAGAATGATCTCAATTCGAATCCAAGGCAAACCATTCAATATCACAGTAGTCCAAATCTATGCCCCAACCACTGGTGCTGAAGAGGATGAAATTGACCGGTTCTATGAAGCCCTACAGCACCTTATAGAATTAACACCAAAAAATGATGTCCTTATCATCATGGGGGATTGGAATGCTAAGGTAGGAAGCCAAAAGATAACCGGAATAACAGGCAAGTTTGGCCTTGGAGTACAAAATGAAGCAGGGCACAGGCTAATAGAATTTTGTCAAGAGAATACGATGGTCATAACAAACACTCTTTTTCAACAACCCAAGAGACGGCTCTACACATGGACATCACCAGACGGTCAACATAGAAATCAGATTGACTATGTGCTCTGCAGCCAAAGATGGAGAAGCTCTATACAGTCAGTAAAAACAAGACCAGGAGCTGACTGTGGCTCAGATCATGAGCTTCTTGTTGCAAAATTTAGGCTTAAATTGAAAAAAGTAGGAAAAGCACTAGGCCACTCAGGTATGAACTAAATCATATTCCTGATGAATATACAGTAGAGGTGACAAATAGATTTAAGGAACTGGATCTGATAGACAGAGTGCCTGAAGAACTATGGATGGAAGTTCGCAACATTGTACAAGAGGTAGCAACTAAAACCATCCCAAAGAAAAAGAAATGCAAGAAAGCAAAATGGCTGTCTGAGGAAGCTTTGCAAATAGCTGAGGAAAGAAGGGAAGCGAAAGGCAAAGGAGAAAGAGAAAGATACACCCAATTGAATGCAGAACTCCAGAGAGTAGCTAGAAGAGATAAGAATGCCTTCTTAAATGAACAGTGCAAAGAAATAGAAGAAAACAACAGAATAGGGAGGACCAGAGATCTCTTCAAGAAAATTGGAGATATGAAGGGAACGTTTCATGCAAAGATGGGCATGATAAAGGACCAAAATGGCAGAGACCTAACAGAGGCAGAAGAGATTAAGAAGAGATGGCAAAACTACACAGAAGAACTATACAAGAATGAGCTTAACATCCCAGATAACCACAATGAGATGGTCACTGACCTCGAACCAGACATCCTAGAATGTGAAGTGAAATGGGCCTTAGAAAATCTGAGCAACAACAAAGCTAGTGGAGGTGACAGTATTCCAGCTGAGCTATTCAAAATCTTAAAAGACGATGCAGTAAAAGTGCTACACTCAATTTGCCAGCAAATTTGGAAAACTCAACAGTGGCCACAGGATTGGAAAAGGTCAGTTTACATTCCAATTCCAAAGAAAGGCAATGCCAAAGAATGTTCAAACTATCGCACCATTGCACTCATTTCACATGCTAGTAAAGTTATGCTTAAAATCCTACAAGCTAGACTCCAGCAGTATGTGGATCGAGAACTACCAGAAGTACAGGCAGGATTTCGAAGAGGCAGAGGAACTAGAGATCAAATTGCCAACATACGCTGGATCATGGAGAAAGCTAGGGAGTTCCAGAAAAACATCTACTTCTGCTTCATTGACTATGCAAAAGCCTTTGATTGTGTGGATCACAACAAATTGTGGCAAGTTCTTAAAGAGATGGGAGTACCAGACCATCTCATTTGTCTCTTGAGAAACCTATATGCGGGTCAAGAAGCAACAGTGAGAACCGAACACGGAACCACTGATTGGTTCAAAATTGGAAAAGGAGTCCGGCAAGGCTGTATACTGTCGCCCTGCCTATTTAACTTATATGCAGAGCACATCATGAGAAAGGCAGGGCTAGATGAATCAAAAGTTGGAATTAAGATTGCCGGGAGAAATATCAACAACCTAAGATATGCAGATGATACCACTCTAATGGCAGAAAGTGAAGAGGAACTAAAGAGCCTCTTGATGCGGGTGAAGAAGGAGAGTGCAAAAGTTGGCTTGAAACTCAACATTAAGAAAACCAAAATCATGGCATCCGGCCCTCTCAATTCCTGGCAAATAGATGGGGAAGAAATGGAGGTAGTGACAGATTTTATTTTTCTGGGCTCCAAGATCACCTCAGATGGGGACTGCAGCCAAGAAATTAAAAGACGCTTGCTCCTGGGGAGGAAAGCTATGGCAAATCTAGACAGCATACTAAAAAGCAGAGACATCACCCTGCCAACAAAAGTGCGTATAGTCCAGGCCATGGTTTTCCCAGTTGCAATGTATGGCTGTGAAAGTTGGACCATAAGAAAGGCTGAGCGCAAAAGAATTGAGGCCTTTGAACTATGGTGCTGGAGAAGACTCCTGCGAGTCCCTTGAACTGCAAGGCGTTCAAACCGGTCAGTCCTAGAAGAGATCAACCCCGACTGCTCTTTAGAAGGCCAGATCCTGAAATTGAAACTCAAGTACTTTGGCCACCTAATGAGAAGGAAGGACTCACTGGAGAAGAGCCTAATGCTGGGAAAGATTGAGGGAAATAGAAGAAGGGGACGCCAGAGAATGAGATGGCTGGATGGAGTCACTGAAGCAGTAGGTATGAATTTAAATGGACTCCAGAAGATGGTAGAGGGCAGGAACACCTGGAGGAACGTTGTCCATGGGATCACGATGGGTCGGACACGACTTTGCAATTAACAACAACAACAACAACAACAGAAACAGCAAGTTTAACCCAAGATTATTTCCTAGAAATCAAGAATTCATTGTAATAGCGGGGAGAGAGATATCAAAGCAATGATAATTTTCTATTATCATTATTACTGTGTATATATCACTATTACAAGCTGGGGATATATAGTTTGTGCAAACAGAGATGAGGCTCTGAATGTTATCTATCATACCATCAGTGACTTACAAACTATTTACTCCGATGGTACTTTTATTGTATTTGGTGATTTTAATCAAGTTGGTTTGAAATCTACTCTCTCCCATTGCCATTAATATGTGGACTTTGCAACCAGAGGGAGGAATATACTGGATGTTGCTTATTCTAACATCAAGAATGCATTCAAAGCTATCCCCCTCCCTCACCTGGGCTCTTCTGACCATCTCTTGATGCTGCTTATGGACTTCAACTTATTCTATCACTTCTTCTCTATTAGTAAGAATTACGTTCATTATAGCTTTTCCTCAAGTTCGCTTCTCTACATTTTGGATGACAAAGTTATCAGCTAGGTTGATGAGGAATTTGTTTGATCTGCTTGCTGCAGGGTTTATCTTCCAGTTGATATCAGGGTAGTTAAAGTCTCCCATTACTACTTGGTATATTTCCTACATACATTTGTTAATTGTTTAGCAAAAAGTTCATCTTGGATGGCCTGTAGTATATGCCTATACCAATGTTATATTTTTTCCCCTTTTATATTGAACCATATGGATTCTGGAGGTTTTCATTCTTGGTTTTGTGGTTTTCTGTAGAGATGTGATGATCTTTTATATATAATGCAACTCCACCTCCTCTTTTGTTAGGTTTTGTTATTTCCTACATTCATTTGTTAATTGTTTAG